ATCAACCCCATCTTTATGAACAAAATCAGGTAATACAAAGTTCTGCCTGGCTGGTGTGGCTCAATGGTGGAGCATCAACCCATGAACAAGAGGGGAGAAGGGATGTCCCAGTTAGATTACTGGTCAGGGTGCATTGATGTTTCTAGCTCTCCCTCTCCCATCCTCTCTTTGAAATCAATAAAAACATATTTTAAAAAATACAAAGTTCGGAGGCAAGGGAAGTGACCTAATCTTCTTCTTTATTCCAGTTAAAACTATGTATTTGTTGTCATCCTTTTTGGGGGGGAGGGGACACAGCACGCTGGTTTGTGAGGAAAGCAACCGAATAGTTAAAATATTTAAAACAAAGACCCTCATAAAAACCTCAAGAGACTATCTTGATTCACCTCTTTCCCAGTTATCTTTCTGAGCCCTCCATACATGTAGCCTGAGAGGGTGATGAGAACATAAGTGTCTCAAGCAGTAATTAACTAGCAATTTCTCCAGATTAAACAAACCCAAAAGTCTACCTCCCAAACCGCCTAAAACCACCAGGACCCCAAAATGAAAGAGGAATGGCCCTGGCTGGGATGTCATAGTGCAGCGGTTCTCAACCTGTGGGTCGCAACCATCGGAAAACACATATAGCATATCAGATATTTACATTACAATTCATAACAGTAGCAAAATTACAGTTATGAAGTAGCAACGAAAATAATTTTATGGTTGGGGGTCACCACAACATGAGGAACTATGTTAAAGGGTCGCGGCATTAGGAAGGTTGAGAACCACTGTGAGCATCAGCCCACGCACCAAAGGGTCACAGGTTCGGGTCCTGGCCTGTCAGGGTGTGTGCAGGAAGCAACCGATTGATGTGTTTCTTTCACATCAATGTTTCTCTCTTTCTCTCCATCTTCCGTCCCTCCCTCCCTCCTTCCCTCCCACTCTCTCTAAAAATCAATGGAAAAAAATCCTGTCAGGATTAACAACAAAAAAATTAAAGAGGACTGGATTACAAGCTAAAACCTAGAGGGAGACAAACAACTTTTCCTAAAATCTTGTTCTATACATGCCAGTGATTATGATTCATAAATTACTTCTAGAAAAGCTAGAGCTGCAAAAGCAGTCTTTAAAAGTGCATAAACAAAAAGTTAATGATTTTGCCTAATGAAAGGGTTTAATATCTTGATACATTTTACCCAGAACACTGTATGAATGACACAAAAGGTTATTTCAAGTACTCAGTTTTTCTAAAATAAGTATATAGTAATAATAAAGTGGCTTTTACTTTGGTAAATGCTTTATTACTTCAGAAATTGTAACCACTGATAGTCGAGGGTACCAACACAACACCACTGATAGTAGAGGGTACCAACACAACACCTGAGTCACTGGAAGATATATCTCTGTGGGTGGCCATGGGTCCTGTCATTGTAGTCAGTATTCTTTCTCAGGACCTGGAATACAGCCCTCTCTGTGCCCCCTGCCCCAGGAAGGCCAGCCATGACTACTCAATGCATACTAGTTAAATGAATGAACCAAATTTCCTTAGTTCAGTTTTAAATGAAGTATTCCATTCTAACGGAAACATTTCAGAACCTATCTGAACTGTAATAATTTGGTTATCTATACATATAAAAAGCCTAAGTGACTGGCCAACTGGCAGGTAGCTATGTCGTGCACTGACCACCAGGGGGCAGACGCTCAACGCCAAGAGCAGAAACCACAGGCATGGAAACATGGAACAGACTGATGGGGAGGGGGAGTGGTGAGGGTGAAAAGAGAATAACTGAAGAGCTTATATGCATATTAGAGGCCTGGTGCATGGATTTGTGCACTGGTGGAGTCCCTCAGCCTGGCCTGCGGGTATTAGGCTGAAACTGGCTCTCTGAGATCCCGAGGGGTCCCGGATTGTAAGAGGACACAGGCCAGGCTGTGGGACCCCACCAGTGCACGAATCCATGTACCGGGTCTCTAGTTAATATAAGAAACTGGTGGTTGCCAAAGGCAGGGGTGGGAGTGGGCAAAATGGGTGAAGGTCACAAGGTAAGTACATACTTCCAGTTATAAAATAAGTCATGGAGATGTAATGTACAGCATGGTGGCTACAGTTAATAATGCTGTGTTGCATATTTGAAAGTGTATGAGAGCAAATTTTTAAAGTCCTTATCACAAGATTTAAAAAAAATTTTGTTGCTCAGCCAGTGTGGCTCAGTGATTGAATGCCAACCTATGAACCAGGAGATCATGGTTCAATTCCAAGTAGGGGGCATGCAGGAGGCAGCTGATTGATAATTCTCTCCCTTCCTCTCTGAAATCAATAAAAAAGTATTTTTTTTAAAAAAATTGTTAACTATATATAATGACAAATGTTAACTAGACTTGTGATCATTTCAAAACACATACAGTATCAAATCATCATGTTGTACACCTGGAAATAATGCTGTCAATTACACTTCAATTAAAAAGTTTTAATAAAAAATAAGCAAGTGTTCTACAATAGCTTTTCACTAATCTATTTTCAAGAAAAATTCAATCCCATTTTTAGCACTGCCCCAGAGTTACCTGGATCTTTCTATTTATTGTATTTAATCAATATCTAAAGCCTAAATCTTGCCCTGGCTAGGTAGCTCAATTGGTTAGAGTGTAGTCCTGATAATCCAAGGTTGTGGGGTTTGATCTCGTCAGGGCACACACACAAATCAACCAATTAATGCTTAAATGATTGGAGCAACAAATCAATGTTTATCTTTCTCTCTCTCTTTCTAAAATCAATCAATAAATTTAAAAATCAAAGTCTAAATCTTGATGTACTAAGTACTTACCTGTGGTTTTTTAAAAAGTAATTATTGTTGAAAGTATTACATATGTCCCCTTTCTTCCCCTATTTCTGTGATTTTTAAACTTTTCCTTCCAAGGGAATGAAAAGTGATTTAAGACTGCCAAATCCAACACCTGCCTCTATAATGTTCCATATTTTTCAAAGAAAAAAAATGCCTCTCCATTTGTCCTTATTGAAACATCATTAAAGGCAGAAAAAAATATCCAGCATTTGATTAACATCATCCAAGTGTCATTCACTTACCCTCATTTATTTCTCAGAACCATGCTACGTGAAATAGGTCTTTTGAAAGTGAAAAACCATGGGTCAATAGTTAGGCGAAAGTATTGAAGATCAAACCCCTAAGGGACAAAGATGCATTCAAATACAGCAAGGTTTGGCCTCTCTGTGCTTATCTCTAATACAACTGTTCACACGAAAACTAAATAAATATAAAGAAATCTGGTATTAGCAACTGTGTTCTATTCAATCTTCACTCCCATAACTTAATTTTCATTATTAGCTTTAGTTAATTAAAACAGAAATAAAAAATTAGTAGTTTTATGTAAGCAAAGATTCTTTTAAACTACTTTTATTATCATTGAATTATTATTAAGTATTTTAAAATTATTTTATATAGTGTATTTTTTGTTTATTGTTTGTCTAAATAAATCTTACCAAATTTTAGCACTTAAAATTTTTAAATGTTTTGGAGTTTTGCTGGAAAGTAAATGCCTATTTGTAGGCACTAACATGCAAAAAGTTCATTTTCATGTATGATCATGTACAATCTGCATTGCTCTAACAAACAGCCCCTTATAATGGCAATTCACTGTAAGAACACTTTAAGTTTGACACAAAGTTCTCAATAGTTTATCAAATAATAAAAAAACAACTTGTTTTACTTACAATAAATGCCACATATATTCTTAGATGCTGCAGTGGTTACTCAAAGCTTCCTTGTGGCAGCTTCATAGAGGATGTAGAACAATTATGGAGAGATACTAATTCTCTGCAATATATGGTTAAAGTGACTCATGTCTCACTTAGAAATGGAAATCCCATTGACCCTTTCAATATACAGGCAGATAAGGACACAGATGATCATGCAAAAAGTTAGTCTAAACCAAGTCAGCAAACTCAGGGCCAGAAAATAAAAGTAATTTCAGCTTTGTGGTCATATGATCTTTCTGTCACAGCCACTCAACTCTGCCATTGTACAAAAACAGCCACAGACAATGTGTAAGTGAATGAGCATGGCTGTGTGCCAATAAAACTTTATTTATGGACACTAAAATTTGAATTTCATATAATTTTCATGTGTCACAAAATAGAATTCTTTTGATTTTTTTTTTTTAACCATTTAACAATGTAAAGATCATTCTTGGCTCACAGACATACAAAAACGGGTGGAGGGCTGGATTTGGCCTGTGGGCAATACTTTTCCAACTCCTGGTCTTGATATATACTCTTTTGACATTTATTTGCCAGCAATTATGTAACTTCTACTTCATTAATAAGTGAGAACAATAATACAAAATTTTGCTTAAGGCTTTGTCTAAACTGCTGGTGTACCAATTTTTAAGATAAAAATTTAAAAATCACTTATGTCAAAATTAAATATACTGCTAGAGGAACTAGCTAAATTTCATTTATTTCTTGAAGTCACTTCTATACAGCTCTCATGCACATAGCAGGGAACACACCTTCATTTCACAATGGCATCTGGCTGCACTTCTGATTATAATACAGCAAGTGCAAGTTCACTTGGAAATGTAGATTTATATACCCTATATAAATTAAATACGCTACACTAGGATGTGTAATAGCAAAAGCATGATTTTGAAATTCCATGACTAGATCACTTCTACTTGGCTTAATAAAAAATGTACCCAATCATTTAAATCTGGCCATTTGGGGAAACATGACAGAATACAAAATGTTTGTCATGTAAAATGACAATTTACCTTTTCATAAAATAATCTTTAAACTTGAAACCTTTTTATTGAATTGTTATATGGTTATATATTATGATAGGAAGAAGATTTAGCAACTTGGCTAACTTTTTAAAAATTTGTTCACGAAGTAACATTATTCTTGTTAAAATAAAACAGTAGCTAAATGAATCTTTTCTTTTTACATTTAATGTGTTAGGTTGCTTCCAAATCAACTTCCCAGCCAAAAAAAAGAAACAACAGTCTGAGACTCACTTGAGTGTTTAATTCAAACCTATATTTGTAAGTTTCTAAAATGTTGATCCACAGACCACTTTCGTTACACGTGTACCAACGAAAACAAAAGGCAGAGAATCACTGCCATCCCTACAAAAGGAATGGCTCCTTTTCTAACATTCTTTAAAAATATACATTGTACAGTCTTTGCGCCTCACCAAAGGTGGCAATGTAATAAATACACTGGCTTAGTTCTCCTCCCTGCTCAGCAAGGTCCACCAACTACCTGTTATAAGCCCTCTCCTTTTTGGATTTCTCCAGGGCTTTGTCCATGGTTTTCTCGTTCTCCCCTCGACACTTGGGACAGTACCACTTGCCCTTTGGTTTATGATTCAGTCCTACACAGGAGAAGTGGAACCACTCGATGGGGCACTCGTCATTGTCACAGCCGATCATTTCTCCATAGGAGACCTGATTGCACAGACAGTACGTGGGCTCGTTCGGGTCGATGGGAAGGTCTGCAGGGGATGCTTCCCTCTCTGCTTTGGCCTTGGAGCGTTTCTTCTTCTTGGAGGCCTTTGCTTTCTTCTCCTTAGGCGTTCCTGAGGTGATGTCATCATGGTCGTGATTATTGGCTGCATTCTCCCGATTTTCATTGTTGCGCTGTCTCCGAGACCTCTTGTTATTGGGCTTTTCTGCCTGTGTGATTGTCTCGTTCTTGGACTTATCCTGGCCGGCTTTGCCACTGTGGCCAGTGGTGTCATTGACCTCTTGGTGTGCCTCAAAGAGTTCCACGTGACTGTCCACCTGCCTGGTCCTGTTCTCCACCAGCTCCACCATCTGACTCACAATCTGGATCTTCTCGTCGCCCAGCTCCTGGCTGCGGATCAGGGCTCTCTGAATGCAGTGCAACGCTCTCCTCTTCTGGTTGCTGTCCGTCTCCCGCTTAAACTTCTCGTAATACTCATCTAGCTCCTTCAGGATTTCTGCAAAGGAAAAAGTAAGCATTACACCCACACTATAACATTATCAAACTTTTAATTTAATTCTCTAGTCTATGAAAATGTAATTGCAAAGCACAGACATAATCAATGCAAGGCTTCTTAGTATGAAAAATCTTATAACTTGTATACCCTCTCTCAGCAGATCTTTTCTTTTTCCTGTTGAAAAAAATCCCTGGAACTAAATGCAAATGTCAACACAGTTCTCATTTAGCATAGTGCCAGTCAAAGTTCTCCAAGGGACTCTGTGTGTGTGCAGAAGCGTAAGTAACAAATACTCCTGGGATGGGCAATTAGGGGGAAAGTTCACATTTAGATGAAGCGCTGGGGTCCAAATTTTTATTTTCAATAAAATTTGTGACTATGTTCTATATTTCCATTTTTTTTATTCAAATAGCTTCTAATAATTTAAAGGCCTTTATTCCTTTTATTTTATGTACTAATGTCCACAATACCCTATGAGATTACAGCATGTATATAATATTACTTATGCCCTTGCTGGTGTTCAGTAGTTTAGAGTGTCGGCCAAAATACTGAAAGGTCTTGGGTTCAATTCCTGGTCAGGGGCATGTACCTGGGTTTCAGGTTCCATCCCTGGCCCAGGTTGGGGCTCAGGCCAGAGGCAACCAATCAATGTGTCTCCTCATAACAATATTTCTCTCTCTCTCTTCTACTCCCTCCCTCCCTTCCACACTTTCTAAAAAGCAACAGAAAAATATCCTCAGGTGAGGATTTATAAAATAACAAAAATAAATGTTACTTATAACCCAGAGCTTCAATTTATCAGTCATATCATTTTCATCCTAGCATGTATTACTGAAAACAAGAAAGGTTTGACAATCTGGCCTTGCTGATTTTGCTTTTGCATTTACTGCTTAAATAATAATATATTTATAGCTACAGATTGTAAAACATAACTAAAATAAATTAAAAATAAATGTAAATCTTCTCAGACAGGTAGGAAGACAGTATATGTGAATTTAAAATGTAACTAGGCAATTTCTCAAGAAATAAAAGCTGTTAAAAAATCTGACTGAAATAAGGAAAATAAACATTCTTGCGAAAAGCCTAATACACAGGTAGAAATTTCCAGTTATTTCCCCAAATAGTACAGTTAGATAGTATCAGACTTTTCTCCTGAAAACCTTTTTCAGGCTCTCAAAACCAGGTAATCCTACTCTCCATTATGAAGTGTGTGTGTGGAGATGTGGGGAGAAAATGTATAAAATGTGGCTATCACCCAGGTTTAATTTCCAAATAGTTATAAGGGCTAAATCTAAAATTAGGGTAAACATATGAACTTAGGCAAACACTGAAGTTTAGCTAAACTGTAAGTATTATTTTCCAGGCTATATTCTTAAACTAAAATAGCTCTGAAGATATTTTAGAAAAACAATGTAGACCAGTGGTTCTCAACCTTCCTAATGCCGCGACCTTTAATACAGTTCCTCATGTTGTGGTGACCCCCAATTTTATTGTTACAAATTAAACATAATTAAAGCATAATGATGAATCACAAAAACAGTATGTAATTATATATGTTTTCCGATGGTCTTAGGTGACCCTTGTGAAAGGGTCGTTTGACCCCCAAAGGGGTCGAGAACGCTGATGTAGACAATCTCTCACCAGGAAGGAGGAGTGCCACAGCCTTACAGTCTCTTATAGTAATTAATTCTGAAAATAAATAGCTATGCCCCCACTTAACCCAAGTTCTATTTCATCTTAAAATGAGTTTCTGCCATTTATTTTTAAACAAACTGCACATTACAAAACTATCATTTGGTTTAATGAGTAGCCAAATTTCTAGAGACAGTTTTAACATTTCATAGAAAAGAGGACAATTCTACCATATGGCTAATTTAAAATTTTAATAAATACAGCTTCTTTTATATCACAAGCAAGCTTACATTCATGTGAAGCCTCTCTTATAGGAAAGAAACAAACATCACAACATTAGCAATAAGTAATTGTTACCTTCATAATGGTATGTATTTCTTGGATGCCCCAAGCAAAGTACTCTATTAACAAAGCCGTGCAAGTACAAATGTCTGTAAGGAGGAACACCAGTGCTAACCAGGGAGGCATCTGGCCAGGATACCCGTTTCTTCAGCCCCATCAGCGCAAACGGCTGCTGACCCCTCTCATCTAGAAATGCTCCACAGCAACATTACTGTGGGAAAGCAATGGTACTACGAAAGAAATGTTAAGGTTTAAATAAGAATGCAGCAAAATTTAATCTGACCTTTCCAATGATCAGAAATGTATTTTAATTTTTACATAAGGTTTGCACTTAAGTTCTTTATGAAGCTGACTTCCCGTGGTGGGTGGTTGGGTGGGATTTAAAAAATAACACTTGAAAAAATAATTTAAAAATAATTTTGAATCCAATAATTCAAGAATAACCTCAAAGACCATTTAAAATTGGCAGATTATAATCCATCCTTATGAATTAATCTCCAACTGATGCACACTAAGCAAGACTGTTAAGCAACTTTGACTTGCAACACAGGTCTTTATTAATTTTTTAGGACTATGCTGCATTTATAGTAAGTGCCAACCCAATGTGTTATGACTATTATCATGACGGGTTAGGCTTTACAGCTCACTCAACAGCACTGGCTTCAGAGGTGCCGGGTGGGGTGGAATTCATTCTCTCCGCAGGAGCCAAATAAGGGCCGCAGCATGTATTCACTGAACAGCGACAGGTTTCTTCATAGGAGTAAAGAAGGAAGTATCTTTAAGGGGTACGACGTGGATGTTAGGGCATTTTTAGGAGACGCTTTTTTCCCCGTCATCTAGGAAAGTGCTAATTGACAGTGCCAGTGACCACGAATTCTGCAAAGGCCGCCAATCATTGCACTACCCGAGCCATCCTGGGCACCGACAGCTCCCGGGTCACTCACGTTTCCCCCGTTCCTCGGCCGCTGGCCTGTCCCGCGGGTCCCTGGGGCCGGGGTGGGAGGCATATGCTTCATCCTCGGTGGAGCCAGGAACACAGCTGACAAGCCTTGCCCCCGGCACCGGGGCGCCGCCATTGCTCCGAGGCCGGAAGTTGCCTGGCTCGGGTCCCCCCAAGGGTCAGGGCGGGGCCATCACCAGGCCAATGGGGAGGCGTCCAGCGGGCGACGCACCCCGCCCCGGGAACCACCGCCTATGGGGGGTCATCGGGCCGCAGGCGGCGGCCAGACGGGGAGCAAATCACGGAACAGAACTGGGGAACACGGCCCACCCCGCAGCATCGATAGCCAATCCAAGGCCGGAAGCCGGGCGACCCGAAGACATTCAAATCAATTCAACCTCCTCCCTCCTCCCAGTCCCTCCACGAAAGAGAAAAAAGAAGGCCGCGGAAACACAGATCGGTGCCAGTCACAGCGCAAGGCCCGCCCCCATCCGGCCCGACGACCAATGGCTCAGGAGCGGACTGATAAGGACATTCCATGAGGACGCCACAGCCAATCAAAAGAGTGTCGAAGCGGGACGTTCACAATATGCTAATAGGCCTCTTATAAATGTCGCTGCGAAACCGAGTTTCTGGTAGAGCGCGCAGGGGCGCCTCGCGGAGTGGAGACTTCTGTGCGTTTCGCGGCTGCCGAAGGCTCCCCACCTCCCCCCACTCTTCCGTTTCCCTGCTGCGCAGCCTTGTAAACAGGAGTAAACTCCGAGTGACGACCTACGTTCCAAACAGAGCCCCCCATGCCATGCCTGACCTGGCAGGAAAGTTTCCCCAACAGCCAACAATTCCCAGCGGATATGAGCCCTCCGCTTCTCCCTGGCACTCTGGGTGACCGGGGCTGCAGACGACGACCCACAGGTCCTCTCCCGTGCCAGGTTCCTCTCCAAGCCCCTGGTCTAAGCGCACGCCCCCCGAGCACAGCACAGATGGTCGACCTGCCTCATCCTCCCCTCCCTTCCCCTCGGTACGCACGGAAGAAAGCCCTGGCCCTCCGCAAACTACACCCGGCCGTGTCGTCCCTCACTCGGTGTCCAGCGCCGCGGGAGGGTCGGGGGGGACTGGGTGGGGGCGACCGGGGCCACACCGCGCATAGTACCGACCCTAGACTTTATATAACAGATTCGGGACTGGGTGGAGGTGGCTCCGGAGATGGCGAGCAGGGCCAGGGACCCCTCGTCCGCAGCGCCCTCCCAGCAGCCCTGCGCGTAGCCCCATCCCTGCGCCCCTCGGCCCCAGCGAACGCGGCACATCCCTCCTCCTGCGCCGTAGCCTGCGCCCCTGAGCCCCCTCCCCGCAGCACCCCGCCTCGTCACTTCACTACAAAGAAGCGCTTTTGCTCGCGCAGCCGGGGCATTTGAAGAACCTCTCATTTTCTCCTTTCCTCCCTCCCGTGTCCCCGGCTTTTGCGCACAAAGGACCCTTGGGAGAAATCAAAGGACGCTTCCAGAACCTTTTTGGTCCCTGGCCGGGGCAGAAGCCGCCCCCCCAGGGGCCCCCAGGGCTTCCCCGGGGAAGGGGAAACAGGAACGACCCCGCGGGCCCCCGCGGGAAGCCCGGGACCCCGGGGGATGGGGGGGCCGCCCCCCCGC